ACAACACTACTAAAAAGAAAAGGACAAAATGTATAGACATCACAATGCTGATAATTAAGTTATTCCAGAAATTAGTAGAAAGAAATTAACCAAGAATCACTCCACAATTTAATTTGGAAAAATTAAGGAAAATATGGAAAAGAAAATCATAATAAAAAAAGAATGAAGTCATTCCTTAGCTACAAACTTACAGAAATATACACCCAAGTTAGCGGCTACATACAAACCAAAAACTGTAAACTAAACTAAGTTTACCAACCACTACAGATCCCATTAAATTGAATAATTACAATGACAAAACTAAAACATTGGATAGTTGATCTCATAGATGATTGGAAGCAGCAGACAAAACTGGCTCAATTCGTTTATTCATAATCATTAACTAATTCTTAGTAGAATTGATTATCTTCTATTCGAATAAAAGACATTTTCTTGGCCTAATTCCAAAAAAAAAAAAATTTTACATTGAGTGACAATTCTGACCCGAATTTTTTTTTGTCTCATAAAAAATTATCAATTTTCACTTAAATCCCAACTCTAACCTGGCAATTTGAAAATTTCACATTAAGGAGGTCAGATTTGGGATTCGAATAAAAGTTGGTACTTTTTATTGAGATAAAAAAAGTTCGGCTCAAGATAAAGTTTGTGTTTTTCTTTGGAATTAGCCATATTTTTCTTTGTAGAAAACACTAGAATATCCCACTCTTTTCTTAAATACCAAGTTAGGAAATTAGGATCGGTTTTGGTTTAGAAAAGAAAAGAGAAAACCAAAATTCCATAATCATAAATTCCCCCATGCATTCAAGATTTATCTATACAAGATGGGCTTCCTAGTCATAAAAATTATTAGGAAAAATAATATATGGTTGTAAGGGAAAAATAAAATGTCCACTTTTGGTATATGTGGAGTTGCATATTTATTTCCAATTTCCTAACCAAGAAAATAAAAAGTCCACTTAGGCTGCGCATGGCAACCATTCTGTGCCCGGGAATAGATTCTGGTCAGAAATGATTCTTTTTGATTCTGTGTCCGGGAACTGATTCTGAACATTTAAAGGCGTTTGGTAACGGTCCAAAATTCTGTGCCCGGGAACAGAAATGCGTTTGGTAACGGCACAAAATTTCTTTTTATTAATAATATTTTAATAACATTTTAAATATTTTAATATTTTTTTCTTTTCTTTTTTCTTCTCCTCCTTCTTGGCCATGGCCGGTAAAATATTTTTTAATTAATAATACTTTTATTAAAAATAATTTTTTTATTTTTTTGGTCATGGCTGGTAAAAAATTTTATATTATTAATAATTTTTTTAAAAAATATTTTACTAAAAAATATTTTTATTGAAAATATTATTTTTACTTTTTTTTGCCATGGCCTGTAAAATATTTTTTTTATTAATAATATTTTAATAACAAATATTTTTTTATTAATAATATTTTAAATAAAAACTATTTTTATTGAAAATATATTTTTTATTTTTTTTGACATGGCCTGGTCGCTGGCCATGGCCGGTAAAATTTTTTTTATTAATAATATATTTTTTTATTTTTTTCGCCATGGCCTGGTCGCTGGCCATGGTCGGTAATTTTTTTTTTATTAATAATATATTTTTTAATTTTTTTGCCATGGCCGGTAAAATTTTTTTATTAATAATATTTTTTTATTAAAATATTTTAATCTTGCCAAATACGGCAAGGGTGGCCCTCGCGCCGGACATTAGAAGCTATATTAAAAACCAAAAAAAAAGAAGAAAAAAAAAATTGATTCTCATTTTTGTTCCCAGAATCAAGAAGCTACTTTTTTTTTTATTCTTGATTCTGCTCCAAAACTGATTTTGGGCACAAATTTGCAAGAATTTGTGCCTAGAATCAAAAAATTAAACAAACGGATTTCTATTCCCAAACTGATTCTGGGAACAAAAGAACAGAATCAAACACTATTTGGCAAGTTGCCATGCGCAGCCTTACTGCAACAACTTATTATGTCTTCATTCTATTACACTACTGTCAAGTAATGTTCCAAGCCAGTTTAAATAATACATCTGACTAAAATCTAGTTTCCCTCGTCAAGAAATTAGCAATAGGTGATGTGAATTCTTTGTCTCGTTCGTATGGTTAGGGGTAGCGTATGAAAGTCCAAAGAAGGCAAGAATCTATTTTTTTGGTAATACGAAGGAGAAGCAGAATCGTATATTTCAGTGGTTCTTCATATCGATCACAAATTCTCGGCCCCTTCGTTTGGCTTCCACTCCAGTTGACCTCTCTTCTTTCCATCTCTCTGCGAGAATGTAGAGAGCAAAACCAACCCAGCAAACCACTAATGCTATGCCCCTATTCCAGCCTTCCTACTCCTTTCAGGGCTTGTCCGAAAGAGAATACAGTACTTCTTGATCGTGAATATCTGAATAGTACGAACCATTTCGTGGATATCTTTGCTTTGGAATAAAAAAAATTCTTTTTCACAACGTGCGGTTTCAATCCTCGTAATTCGCCCATCAATAAATGGACCATTTGTTATGGAACTCTTTGTGCAGTTTCATAATGTTCCTCACCAACAATTCGAGGTTGGAGCATAGTTGACGATGAATCTAAAGGATCTATCGCTAGATAGATACCTTTAACAGCTAATCCTTTTAATAGTACAGTCGTAGCACTAAATGTGCAAATGTAATAGCAGGAGGTTGGGCAGTACTTCATTGATTTGACTTCACAGCTGCGCTTAATATGCGCGTTGGATTAGATTTAAAGTAGGAGACATTTCTATTTTTCGCTCGAGGAATCTTTTGAATTACCACTGCTTAGCTTTCAATTTGCCTCTGACCACAAAATAAAATGTGAATAAGTGATGCTTTTCGATAACAAAAGTTCAATATCTTTCCGGTGACCTTTCAGGAGATGGTGATCGAGTCTTTGTTCGGTCAAATGAGGAAAGGCTTACGGTGGATACCTAGGCACCCAGAGACTAGGAAGGGCGTAGTAAGTGACGAAATGCTTTGGGGAGTTGAAAATAAGCGTAGATCCGGAGATTCCTAAGCGAGACCGATTGAATTCCTTGACTATTGATTCCGATGTCGATGTGGGATTTCAAATTTCTTCTTTTATCCATTCTCTTGCGCTGAACTAAGGGACAAGAAAGATTGATTTCATTATGCTTAAACGAAGTTGAAGGCTATCTAGAGTCATGAAGGAGACTTTCTCTTTCTCCTTCCCTTTTTTCGGAAGAAAAGTAGGATCATGGGCATGACCATCGGTAGAAATTTTGTAGGAGAAGAAAGTTCTCCGCATAGAAAAGAAAGGAGAAATCGATGTTGAAAAACGGGAAAAAGCATAATTAGAAAACTCGCACTAACTTGCTTTGAACCACCTTCTACTCCCGAATTTGTCCAACTAACCTGCATGGAGCTTTCCATCCCATTTACAAGTTGTACTGTAAAAAAATATAAAGAATATAGGCTTAATATAGAGATCCACTAGGGATCATAAATTGTTGAAGTAAGAACAAGACTTTTCTTTTGTCCCTTCTATGCGATCGAAACATAAAGATACACGTCATCATGTATGATGAGGCATTTTGCTGAAATTATGAGACTCTCTGTTTACTGCATTCTCTCGATTTTCTTTTTACCTAATATATCGATAGTTCTGCACTACGGGTCCTGTTTACTGGTTTTTCATGCGGGGGTCTATTTGAAGTACCGGAAGAACGAATACTTCTCATGCTCTATGGGATCAACAATTGCTGGAGAAATTGGTGTATATGGCTATAGACCCTTCCGTACTCATGGATATGCTTGCTGATGAGAGAGCTGAAGTTGTTAGAAGCTTATATGAGGTCTTTTTCTGGGGATTGCTCTACTTCAGGCCTGGAAACTGCTTTGCGATCTGACTCACTAGACCGGCCTAATACTAATTCTGTTGACAGGACTGAAGAATGCATGCATGTCATTGTTACATATAATAGTCATACATCCACGTTTCTGAAAGATCAACTGTTGGTCTTAATTTGTCCATCCTAATTTTTGTTGCATTTTTAAACAGCATAGACTTGGTTAGACTAGAAGAAGAGGTATATCCTTCCAACCTCAATCCATGCTTATCTCATTTTCGTAGCATTGTTAAACCTTGTTCCTCAGACTTTCCTTGACATTGGTGGCCACTTCTCTAATAAGGCTGAGTTCGGTGTTAGGCCTTGCGAGATTGATCTTCATTAACTTTAGTACGAAGATCTTTACGAACTTGTCTAGTACAGGGCAACTGAGAAGAGAATGCTTGGCCGAATCGATGCGTCTAACCAAAAAATCCTATTTCCTTCCAATTTTGCAATCTTCCCATTCTTTACCCGTGGCTCTCTCTTCTCCTAATTCCTTCCAAACCACTTCCTTCCTGGTAGCTCCCAAGTAAAATCCCGAATTGGATTCCATATTGACCGGTTTAGTGTGAGCTTGTCCATCGTCTTTCAAACCGTGCATATTTAGATTTGTCTCAAGGCTATGAAAAGGAATAAAAAGAACAATTCTAAGTAAAATAGCGAGCCTATCATATCAAGATATAAAACGGTGAACAAGAAATAGCAATCTGACAAAGGTAGACTCAATCCGAACATGCACTGCAGAAAGGATAGAATATGACCCTAATCGTTCTTCTCCAGTACGATAGATTGAGACAAATTCAAGCGAATCAAATCCAGCTCTCCGGGATTTAAAAACAGCAAAGCAGAGTGCAATCCAAGTGAATCCGGAGAGAGAGGATAAATGTAAGGCCGTGGAAGGAGGTACTGGCCTACAATTTTAGGAACGACCTAGCTAGATGGCGGGCTAAAATCAGTTGATGATACCATGAACACTCACACCACAAGATCAACAACAATGGTCTAAGTAAAAACAATCTTATTTACCAGACACTACCGCAGTAGACCTAGAACATCGAAAAAAAAAAACATAAGGCTGAAACTCAACTCCCCCGGCTGCCTTCGTAAAGTAAAGCCACCAGCCGCCTTCTCCTTTGGTCTCGGACATTCTTCGCGATCAAGCCAAGGCGGCCCGATGATTGTTGAAATCATAAGCCGACCAAATTTGTTGGGCTACGTAAAAGCTATCTCCTTCTCCTTCTGCCGGTGGTGATGGGATCAAATGGAACGACTGAGGGCAAGAATCAGATACACACGACTCTCAGTATGCAAAATACGAATGATTAAACGATTGATAGAGAAAAATTGCAAAGAAATCACACTTTCTTTCTGAAACGCTACGATTCGGTTCGCCATGGAATCTTATATACAGATTGCTCTTGCTTTTCAACAATGGACGAAGGGATCACCCAAGGTGGTGGCGTCCAAACAAACCATCCTTCGACACTCGAAAAAAGGAATTAAACAAAAAACATATCGATGGATGCTTCGACCTGGTTGAAAAGGAGGGCGTCCGGCTTGCCGTCAAGCCACATGTAGCCGGTGACCATGACGATCACGCCGCCGGTTTCGCTCAAGGGAAAGCAGTCGATGTGGCCAATTTGGTGCCGGCACTGCTGAAGTGAGGTGAGCTTGGCGACGATGGCCTCCTTGCCCTCGATCATCCGGCCGCTGAAGTTCACCAGCGACTCGAACCGGTACACTTTCGCCAAGTCCGCCCGGTTCGCGTCGAACGTCCTGTAGTAGTCCTCCATGAACCGCTTGGCCTCCGCCATCATCGGGTCGTTCGCTCGATCGATCATCGCCATCTCTGCTCCTCCTTCCGGTCGGTTCTCCGTGCCTTCACACCCCCGCGCGATGCAGACGAAGAGAGAGAGAGAGAAAGCGAGCCGTTAGGGGTTTCGAGAGTTCCCCTTTTATTTGGAATCGTCGGGTCCACCCGACCCGACCCGAAACCCGTCCTTCGGGTAGAAAGACTAAAAAGCCCCCCCTGTTCTTCTACTCATGTTCGGACGCAGCAGTAGAGAGAGATCCGGAGAGTTCTGCCTCCGGCTTCCCTCTAGATTGACAATATTTCTTAACGGAGGCACAGAACAATTATGAAATTAATATCTGTAAATCTGCTAAAAGGTAAAAGGTAAAAGGTCCTCTAGGTTTAACGAGGAGATCATCGAGAAGTTCTGGGATCAATTTCTAAATCAACTAGGTGGCCCAAGTTCGAGTTCTAGTGATGTTCACCTGTATCATGATGATGTTTTTAATTTGTTAAAACATTATGAGGCTGAAAATGATGCAACTGATATGTGTAAGTTGTATGATTCACAGCATAGAATTGAGAATCTAAAAATGTACTACGACAAAGAAAGTATTTATAAAAATACCCCTTATTTGTTAAGTCGATTGACTCAGGGTGACTTCCCAACTGCTATGGATTACCTAAAAGCCTTCTTAAAGGAGGAGGAGAAGGAGGAGTTCGGCTAAGCCGGAAAGATAGATCGAGTTTAGCCTCTTGATTGACTTTAGGACTAAAAGGGCCGGTAGCAAAGGAAGTGGCAGCAGTGCTTTATATCCCCTAGTCTGTCAGGAAAAGGGGCTCTTGGAGAAAGAGAAGTAGGGGAGGAGACCCGGCAACCAAGTCCCCGGCAAAAGCAAAGATGAAAGTGCTATCGTGAAACATTATAGGCAAGGCATGGTCTCTTGGAAGAAAAGACAGACCATCCAATTTGCTTATCATGGCAAGGCTAGTATATTTTAGTGTAAAAAATATACTAGAGAGAAAGAGAAAGCCATATATTTTCTAGGAATTGGCAGACTCCATATTTCAAAAAAAAGAAAGTCTATTTATTTTCCAATCAGTGTCTAGGAAGCATTGCTAACACAAATGTATTCACTATGATCTCTGAGGGTATCCGCCCGATGGTGGCACTCTTTTTGACACACAAATCCTGAGGAAGACAAGCAGCTGTATTCAACATACACGATCAACAAAGTCTTGATCCCGGAAAGACATTGATAAATTACATAGCGACCTACGACCCTAGAGGGCTATCTATATCAAATACATAAAAGCGGTGGTCAAGTCTTCCATATCAAGCAAGGGCATCGTCAGATTTAACAATGCTTGTCACGCCCCGAGCTCCCGTCGAGCCCGCGACATCCCGCCTCCAGTCGATCAGTTGCGACGTCCCAGGTTGTCGCCGACCTCATCTAAACATCAGAGATTTAATTGCGCACACGGAATCCATAAAACACCCGAACAAAAATTTAACTGGGGAAACATTGGGAGAATATATACATTTCCATTACTCGGTCAAACTTGTACCACCATATTTACAAAATACAAACCTTAGTTTACCAGTACACACATTACTAACCCTTCAAGAGTAAGAACAAAAACCGATGACCTGCCATCCAACCCGTAACAACCTTTAACACCCCTTGCTTGGCATCCACTCAGAATCTAACTCCGCATCATCCCATCTCCCATTTGAAACTCAGCTGTCTCATACTCTGTATGCACTGGAACTCCAAAACGTACTGGAGGTGGTGGCGATGGAGGATTCATGACTCAGGTTTGGGTTCTGAAATATTTGGTTGAAAACAACCGGGAGACACTTCTCAGTAAGTACACCCCTAAACCCAACCTAGGCTATCACGTACCTCCAGACAATTACGCAATCACACACATTCACGTATATCAAGTAATCACAAAGCAGGCACATCAATTAATATGGTCAGGCTCAATCATGCGCACACCCGCACTCAATCACAATTACATCATATGCAAACACGCGCATGTACCATTCTCATCTTGCACACATTCTTTCCGTTCTCAAATCCTCTTTCCCACATCACTCGCCAGTGACCCGCGCAAACGTACACGCTTCAGGTACACTGCGACCACTCATCACCACACTTCCGGCCCGCGTACTCGTTCACGCCTCAGGCCCCGATCGCGACCTGAGCATCACGCGCCCCAGGCCCGATCCCGACTCAGCCCGCGCCAAATGCGACAGGCCTACATGATTGAAACCCGAGCTTAAGATGCCTCGGTCCAATCCCGGTCTCACCCGAGCTGGTCATGCCTCGGACCGAATCTCATACTTGCTTTTTTCAAGCCTCAGCCTGTGCCAAATGCAACAGACCTACATGATCGCTGCCCGAGCTTATGATACTCGGCCCGATCCCAACCTCGCACTTTCACCCTTTCACATACTTTTCACAATCACTTGCCACACCGCAATTTCCCTTCTACTCAAGTCCACGCTCAACACACGTTTACCACACGCAACTGGCCCAACACACGGGGTTCGTGCACACATCATTTCACACACAAAACATGCTCACTCAGTAATTTACACGACCAATGTCAATAAATAATTCAATTTAGCTCACGTGTGCACCAAACAAGCATATTCAGTCACTTAATTGCACAACAGTATACTCAACTTAATTACCACAATTTACTAATAATTTAAATATACATCCAACACGATAATTCCCATTTTTCTCCACCCAAATGGCGTCGGATTAATTCCGATCCTTCACGGGACTTTCTCGCCATAATTTCTAGGTTCTAAAAATTCAACTTGCATCCCAATCGGACCATCACAACCCCGTGAACAGTAATCCACAGCCAGTGAACAGTGTTTCGCAGCATATGAACAGTAATTCGCAGCCCCCATTTTCTGAATTTCCAATAAATATTACCCGAATTAATTCCTAAGGCCCGCCATAAAATTTCCACTCCCTATCCATGTAATTCCGCACCTTATTTCATACTGATTTTGTCCGGAATTACCCATCGATAGCCAAAGTCCTAAATTAGGTTTAGACGCGACTTACCCGCGTTGGCTAACTCAGCATATCACATGGTCAATTGAACAATCATTTCAATTGAACCCAAACGTGCACGAATCAAACATATTTACACCAGCCCATTGCACAGATGCGCACACAATTCTACCACCACAACTCAATTATAATTAAAACACACGTAAAACACATAAAATTCTATTTTTCTCCCACCAAACAACGCCAAATTGATTCCGGTCCTTCATGGGACTTTCTCGCCATTAAATACCGGTTCTAAAAATCCAACTTGCCTCCCGAACCGAGCATCACAGCCTCGTGAACAGTGATTCTTAGATTAAAATTCCCTCAAATCGTCCTCCAAAAATTCCAAATTAATTCCTTAAGGCCCGCCATACATTCCCGGTCTAAAGCCCCAACATTTCGCACCCGCACAGGTCCAATTTCACCCAAAATCAAATTGTTCGGCGATACCCAAAATCCTAAATCGGGATTAGAGTATGACTTACCGCGTTCTAGGCTAAAACGGCTAGAACGGAAAGCGGTGGCGCTCTACGGCGAAGGCGAACAACTCACGGTGGTTTCCGGCTTGCACGGCGGCGGTCCGGCAAAGGGAGAGAGGGAGAGAGAGTATACGGTGGAGGGGGAGGGGACTCACGGTTGAGGGGGGGGGGGTTTCACGGGGAGAGGGGAACCGAATGGGAGGGAGAGAGAAAGGAGAGAGAGAGTCAAAGGCTTAAAAAAATTAATTTTGACCACTTTTTGACAAATTACCAAAATATCCTCCTCTAATCTTTTTTATCCAACGGTCGAGATTCGATCTAATCTTAAAATCAATGGCCCAGATCGAATCTTACTTAAAAATATCCAAGGGTAATTATGTCAAATCCAACTTAGGGCCTAAAATGACCAAAATGCCATTGTCCAACAAAACTAACCCTTTATTAACTTATAGGGGTATTTTGGTCACTTTCTCATTTTCTTGCCGAAATTGAATTTTTCTGAAGGATTCGGGTGCACCAAAAATTCACACGCGTCACGTGCAACGTCGCCCTAACGTTCCGGCGTGACTTCCTAATTTTCCGGTGTCTAATTTGGGCAAAAATTCCATAATTAAATTCTATTAAACGCAACTCGAGCGTTTCCCGAGCTAACGGGCGGCTTGCTAGGGAAATTCGCAGAATCGACGCATGACTGATACTGAATCGAGTCACGTGCAAGTCCGTTCAGTGCGTGACGATCTCGGTTGTCATTAAAATCGCGAAGATCAATCACTTGATCCGAGGGGTACGATCGTTCGGTATAATTTCGGAATCATTTCTCACGTCGTTTCGTGGTCCTATGGAATCACCCGCGATCCACTACTAGGACAGTGGTGAACTGACCCCTAACTATCCTTGGATCGGCCAATAGTGGCTCAAAATATCACTTACGCGATTTAATGGTCGAAGTCCATTCACGGTCGAATTTTCTTTAGTCGCGCGAATTTAATTCCCCTATTAGCCTTTCCCTAATGGTTAGCATTCCCAGGAATGATCAGTTCCGGGCGAGAATTTACTGCGAGCACATTTCATAAAACTGAGTTATTTCATAATATCCAATTGGCGGAAATTTCGGAATGTCACAATGCTCGAAGATCCCGAAGATAATAGTACTACCTACATCTGCTGGAGTCGAATCCACCGAATCCTGCAAAAGAGGACCTCTTTAGGGAGAGGAGATATACGAAGTCTAGTTTTCGTACGAAAGGAAGAGGTTCTTGTCTCTACCAAACCAAGTGGAAGCGGAAGCGTAATTGTCGACCGTAATTCATTAACATCTTATTAGCCGCCGACAGATGATGAAAGACTAGATGATTTATATATTGACAAGTGGATCTCGAGTGCCCACCACCCTGAGGGATTGATTGCCCAGAAATCGATCGATTGCCCACCACACCCGGCCATCTAGGGAGTCTAATATATACTTCATTCCAGGCTGAAGGAGGGAAGGAAGAATGAACTCTGCAATCGGTTAGTCAGATTTTGATTTCGACAACTCTGA